TTTTTTTTTTTTGTAAAGTCTCATTCCGTTGCCCTGTGTAGGGTGCTGTGGCATCAGCTTGGCTCATGGTAACCTCAAACTCATGTTCAAGAGATCTTGTCTCAGCCTCCTGAGTAGCTAAGACTGTAAACACCTGCCACCATGCTTGGCTAGTTTTTTGCCGGTGCTGGGTTTGAACCCACCACTTCTGGCATATGGAGCTGGCGCCCTACTCCTTTGAGCCATAGTGCCCTGCTTGGCTAATTTTTAAATTTTTTTTGAGACAGAGCCTCAAGCTGTCGCCTGGGTAGAGTGCTGCGGCATATCAGCTCACAGCAACCTCCAACTCCTGGGCTCAAGTGATTCTCCTGCCTCCACATCCCAAGTAGCTGGGACTACAGGCACCTGCCACAACACCTGGCTGTTTTTTGGTTGCAGCCGTCATTGTCGTTTGGCAGGCCAGGGCTGGATTTGAACCCCCCAGCTCAGGTGTATGTGGCTGGTGCCTTAGCCACTTGAGCCGTAGGCACCGAGCCTAAAAATTTTTTTTTTGAGACAGTCTCACCATGTCACCCTCGGTAGAGTGCTGTGGCAGCATAGCTCACAGCAACCTCAAACTCTTGGGCTTAAGCAATTCTCTTGCCTCAGCCTCCCGAGTAGTGGGACCACAGGTGTCCGGCTATTTTTTGTTTGCAGTTGTCATTATTGTTTAGCAGGCCCAGGCTGGGCTTGAACCCTTTAGCCTCAGTGTATGTGGCTGGAATCCTACTCACAGAGCTACAGGCGCTGAGCCTGGCTAGTTTTCTTTTATTTTTAGTATAGATGTGGGTCTCACTCTTGCTCAGGCTGGTCTTGAACTCCTGAGCTCAAGCAATCCATCTGCCTCACCCTCCCAGAGTTTGGGGATTACAGACATGAGCCACTGCACCAGACTAAAACTGTCATCAAAAGATATTGTCTGCAATCAATCCCATTACAAGGTATTTACCCAGAAGAACATAAATCATTTTACCACAAAGACATTTGCACTTGAATGTTTATTGCAGCTCAATTCATAATAGCCAAGTTGTACAAGTCACCTAAGTGCTCATCAACTCATGAGTGGGTCAACAAACTATGGAATACCATGGAATATTATGCAGCCATTAAAAAGATAGAGACTAGCTTTTTAGATTGTAAATCTTATAAAAAATGTACATCTTTTACATTTACCTAGATGGAGCTGAAATACATTCTTCTTAGTAAAGTATCGTAAGAATGGAAAGACGAATATGCAATGTACTCCATACTAACATGAAATCAATATATAAACAATTACATGTTCCTAAGAACAATAGAACACTATTATAGGCTCAGCACCCATAGCTCAGTGAGTAGGGTGCCAGCCAGGCATTGTGGTGGGTGCCTGTAGTCCCAGCTACTCCGGAGGCTGAGGCAAAAGAATTGCTTAAGCCCATGAGTTTGTGGTTGCTGTGAGCTGTGATGCCACAGCACCCTACCAAGGGTGACATAGTGACAGTCTGTCTCAAAAACAAACAAAACAAAATGAACACTATTGTAGTCCAGTTTGGGGGAGGAGGGGAGAGTGGGAAGGACATATGGCAGAAGGAAGGAGGGCATGAGGCAGAATCTCACCTAATGTGCGCATCGTGAGGGTGTATAACATGCCCCCTGGGCGAGGGGCTCTTCTACAAATGGAACTTGCACTGGAAATGAGAACAATGTAACCTAAATATTGTACCCGCATATTAATTTGAATAAAGTTTTTTTAAAAAGTAAAAAAACAGATACTGTCTGGCTGGGTGTGGTGGCACTTGTAGTCCCAGTTACTCAGGAGGTTGAAGTTAGAGGGTTGCAGGGGTTCAAGGATACAGTGAGCTGTGCTCATGAGCACTGCACTCATGCTGGGTAACAGAGCAAGATCCTATTTTTTTTATAATTAATTATTTTTTATTAAATCATAACTTTGTACATTGATGCATTTATGGGTTCAGGGTACTGCTTCAATATACAATGTGAAATGTTTACATTGAACTAAGTAACACGTCTATCACAATTATACTCATTTCTTAATAGTTTTAAAATGTACCATTGCATCATGCACATTAGGTGAGGTCCCCCCGAATACCCTCCCTTCTCCCATATTCCCTCTCCCCACCCCTCTCTCTCCTCTTCCCTTCTATTTTAGGGACTATAGTTATGTTTTGCCATTCCTATGCTTGTGTAGGTGGTTATATATTGATTTCATAGTAGTATTGAATACATTAGACACTTCCCCCCATTCCTGGGATACTTTACTAAGAAGAATATGTTCCAGCTCCATCCAGGTAATCATAAAAGATGCGAAGTCTCCGTCTTTTTTGTGGCTGCATAGTATTTCATAGTGTATATATACCATAATTTGTTAATCCATTCATGGGTCAATGGGCACTTGGGCTGTTTCCATGTCTTGGCTATTATGAAGTGGGCTGCAATAAACATTCTGGTGCAAATGTCTTTGTTGTAAAATAATTTTTGATCATTTGGGTATATACCTAGTAGAGGAATTGCAGGATCAAATGGTAGGTCTACTTTTAGTTCCTTGAGTGTTCTCCGAACTTCTTTCCAAAAAGGCCATATTAGCTTGCATTCCCACCAGCAGTGTAGAAGTGTTCCCTTCTCTCCACATCCAAGCCAACATCTGTAGTTTTGGGATTTTGTGATGTGGGCTAATGTTACTGGAGTTAGATGATATCTCAAAGTGGTTTTGATTTGCATTTCTCTGATGATTAAGGATGATGAGCATTTTTTCATGTGTTTGTAGGCCATGCACCTGTCTTCATCAGAGAAGTTTCTGTTCAAGTCTCTTGCCCACATAGAAATGGGGTTATTTATTCTTTTCTTATTGATTAGTTTGAGTTCTCTGTAGATTCTAGTTACTAGACCTTTGTCAGAAGCGTAAAGTGTAAAAATCTTCTCCCATTCTGAAGGTTGTCTTGTTTGCTTTACTTACTGCGCTCTTGGCTGTGCAAAAAGCTGTTTAGTTTGATCAGATCCCAGTATCGTATTTTTGGTGTTGCTTCAATTGCCTGGGAGGTCCTCCTTATAAAATATTCTCCCAGGGTGATTTCTTCAAGTGTTTTCCCTGCACTCTTTTCTAGTATTTTTATAGTTTCATGTCTTAAGTTTAAATCTTTTATCCAATGAGAATCAATTTTTGTTAATGGTGAAAGGTGGGGGTCCAATTTCAGTCTTCAACAGGTCTCAACCAGTTCACCCAGCACCATTTGTTAAATAGGGAGTCT